GCGCTTGCAGGTGTCGGCGGCGCTGAGGGAAGGCCGCGTCACCCCGACGGAGCTCTGCCAGCGGTGCCTCTCCCTCCTCAAGAGCACCAAGTTCCTGAACGCCTACATCACCGTAGCGGAGGAAACCGCTTTGAAGCAGGCTGAAGAGTCGGAGGAAAGATACAGGAGAGGTGGGTCTGCTCCTGCTTGACGTGAGTCCTTCAGAAGCTGTTGCGGAGGAGCTCTTGGTGTTGGATGAAGCAACTTGTTCTTCTTAAAGCGGGTGATGCTGTTAGGGGACGAGGGTTGTGCTTGAGGCTTCCGTGGGCGTGGGCTTGGCACTCGGTAGCATATTCAATTCAAAAATCGAAGGCGAGAGCCGGACCAAACCGGGCGGGCACTGCAGATTAAACAGGCCCTCTGCTTCTTGGACCGCGCTGCTGCTGGTTGCTGCTCCTTTCCCCTCAGCAGTTTGTTTTAAATTGGCAGCCAATGGTTGGAATGAGCAGGACGATACAGTGGTCTTTTGCAGACCTGTTGACTACCTGTCAGGTTTTAAATAAAGCAAGCAAGTGAAAATAAAGCAACTTTGTTAATTGCAGTTGTGAGTTGGTGAACAGACCAGCGTTAAATTCTGTCACCTGCAGCGTTTAGAGGCTGACCATCCTCATTTTCCTTTGCCTTTCCTAGCACATTAAAGGGAAATTTTCATCTAATAGAGTGCATTTTTTCTTTCCTGGGTGACACTGTCTGTCCTCTTGACAGCTTAAGAAAATTGCCAGCCAGAGTGTTTTGCCTCCTGACATAGGCATTTTTAATTATTTTTTTGCTGGGTGGTGGGTAATCACTCATGTAGGAAAGACTTACTCTGCTTTGGTAATTTTTTTAGATCATATCTATTGTGTGTGTTAGGTAGGCAGAGTTTGTGGCTCCCAGCCTGGGCACGGAGTAGATTTAGGCAGCACCTGTGCATGAAATGAGCTTTACGTGGTCACGTTTGAAGAGGTAAGCACTCCTTTGGGATAGCTAAACTATATGAAGGTAGCTGCCTGTCTTGCAGGCTTAGACCCGTTTGCAGAGCTGTGCGCGGCAGGGTCAGTCTGGTCTGGGCAGAATGCTCAGTGCTCGAGTTAGAATGGAAGATGGTTCTTGAAAATGTAGCTGACAGAAATGTAGCTAAGCGGACAGCGTTCTTGCTTCCAACAAGCACCCGAAGGGACATGTAAAATAAATTGTAACTGATAAGAATACTATGCATATAGCACACTTTGCTTTGATCACCAGTGTCTTTACAACAATTCCTAATGCAGGTCAGCCGCTGGGTGTTTTAGATGGAATTCCTGTTGCGGTAAAAGACAACTTTAATACAGCTGGCATTGAGACAACATGTGCATCAAACATGCTAAAAGGTACAGTAGAGCTTTTAAAGTGAAATCAAATTTCATTTCAGACCTCTTGCTCTTCCCTTTAGAGGATTTATGGAGTGAAGTCTTGCAGAATTCTAAATATTTTCAAAAAATGAGCTGAACTTATTTGAGAAAATATGTTTATCTGATTTCTGCTGCCAAACTTATTTGATATCACAGATACATCTTTTTCTTGTGTGAGCACATTATCTCCTTTATTCACATAGTTACATGCTTTTAACCATGATGTTTGTTATAGCCTATATAGAAAAAGAAAATAGAATTGTTCTGTAGTTCATATTTTGCTTCACATTATGTTGAGGTCTACAGGAGAGCAGTCAGTACTGCTTGCTGCTCTTCTGTCTAGCAAAATCCAAAGACAGTCTTTTTTTGATGCCGTTGACATTTGTTGACTTAAGTAGTTTTTTCATGTGGCTGTAGGAAGAGTAGACATTAACAATTCTTTTCTGTATATTCCTGATATAGAGACACATTCTATAAGGCTTTTTAATTTTTTTTGAGATTTCCTAAGCTCATTGTTTCTCTTAACAAGAGAAGGCATTAGGATGTTTTCATAGTAAAAGCAAAAGTAGAAAACATTTATTACATCTGTTTTATTCTGCACAAAAGCAGAACTAAAAAGTTTTGTGGAAGATGGCTCAAGTAAATTATCAGGAACCTAATCTGATTATGGGTGTTTTAATAGTAGAAGAAGCAAAATATAACTTTGCCATTTTAAAAAGTGTTTTATTACCTGAGATGCTTTTCCTTAAAGCACATTCTCAGACCCATTGTGATTGATTACAACATCGTGGCTGAGAGTATTAGGAATGATGTTGTCCTTATTCCTGTTGAGGCAGCTGTGTGGAAACCCCTGTCAATATCACAGAAGGATTTGATTGCTACCTGGGATCTCATGTAGGTATCATGGTTTTTGTCCTAGTTTATGTAAGGTCTAAGTGGTCAAGGGTGCACACTTTGGTCGCAGGATAGCTAGCCAGTTAGTATTTCAGCTTGTGGTTAACCATATGCTCCTTTATCTCACGGTAAAGGGAGATAATTCAAGATAGTTTAGCACTTTTCTGTGAAGAGCTGTTTCTCATTTCTTCTAATTTTAGACAGTTCCTGCAAATTGGCTGAACGCTGTAATTTGCTACCCTGTGAAGTGTTAGCTCCACAGTCTAGAAATGTGTAATCCAGAATTACTGGGTTGTGAGTTGTGGAGGAAAAAAAAAACGATGTTGCAAACAGCAGCGTTTGGTTTACTTCTGCTAAATTTTGGAAGTTACTTGTGTTATCTTGAAGCAAAATTTTGGCCCTGTGAACTGGCAGTTCTTATGCACAAATAATGGCAACTTGGAAGTGTTCAGAGTAGCTGCTGCTAAAAATCAGCTGTATCTCACCAATTACTCTCTTAATTGTTCTGATTGTTTTCAGGTTATATTTCTCCTTACAATGCTACAGTAGTTCAGAAATTACTGGATCAGGGAGCTGTGCTTTTAGGAAAAACAAATCTAGATGAATTTGCAATGGGGTGAGTGATGTTTATTATTTTTAATGTGTGATTGCACGTTAAACAGAATACACACCATCTGTTCTGATCTACCTGTAAGCCTCAACTCCTCATTCTGTGCGTTCAGAAAGTAATGAATAGTTACCCGTGAAGAGTGTATAGAGTTGCATGAATTTGTCCCTGAACATTTATACTGTTGTGTAAATGATATAAATGTTGAGTTTTATGAACACAGTGTTCGAGTATAGCTGTGTTTGAGTGGGAGGAAGCAGTACAGCCTTTGCAGAAGGCCAAGGACAAGCAGACTTCTTCCAGATCCAGTAGTGTTTTAGTAGAATTGTTTACAACACCAGTTAATTGCTGCCTTTTTCTCTCTCCTTACTGGTGGTTTTTGCCCTTAGCTAGGTATTACCATGCCCCCAGTGGTAGTCACTGACTTGGCCAGTCAGCCACTGGAGTATTTTGTACCAGTGCTCCTTGATTTGCTGCAAACAGATTAACCTAGAGCAACACTTGAAATTGCCTAAGCTAATGTTGGTGACGTTTTGTCAGGAGCACGTGGAAAATGCTCTCCCGGATTGATTCTCCAGCAAATCAGTGAAGGCAGCCAGGCTGTAGCAGGGAACAGCACTGGGCCATTAGGGATGGGAGTCTCTGTCACCACAACTACTGGATCTGGAAAGGAATGCTGGGACTTCAGTTACCTATGAGAAGGAATAAGTGTTGTGTTTTGATTTTGTTTTTATTTTACTTAAACCACAGACAGAGGTTTGACTGGGAATTCACATGGATGGGGCGGAGATACTTTGACTGTATTGTTTTACATAAAGTAATTTCTGTATCGAATTTACCACAAAAAATGCTTATTATGCACTGTTACAACTGGTCTAAGCTCATTAAAGTGCAGGATTCTCCTAAAAAGGCTTATCCCACCTCTGGCCTCTGATCTCTTGCCTGTGTGTTTGCATGGTCTGTGCTGCTAGCAGCAACACAGCTGCACCATGAGCTTGATTAGGGACCTGATCCAGCTCAAAAGTAATGATGTCTCAGTAAGGTCAGTTTTCAACGGCTGTGTCAACTGCCTGCTCTGTCTGATGATTTGGCTGATGACACTGGCACCCTGGAGTCAGGAGGAACGCAGGGTGGAGGCTGTGAGGAAGGAGGAAAGTACCCTCACCCCACTTCTGGTGGCAGCTCACACTTAGGTGACCACAGTCTGACTGAAAACGTTTTCCAAGAAGCCCGTCTGGCACTCTGAACCAGTGAACTGTGGTCTCAGGAGAGGGCTACAGAGTGAGTAAGTACGTTATTTACAGAGAAGTGCTTGTTCCTGCTGTTGCAGGGCTTCTTCCCCCCCTCTAGCAGCATGGTTTTCCACAAGACTGTGGCCATCTTCTTTTGCCTTTTCCAAATGCAGGGTTAGGAAACCAAAATACCTTTGTTTTGAAACAGGTGTGCAGCTTTACTGTTACATAGCTTAAATCAGTTTTACGTTTTTGTGATTTTGTTCTTTTCAGTGGCATTAGCAGAAGTTAGAAAGAGGTACGAGTTCAGGTTCTGTGTCAGAAAGGGATGAAGATCTATAAGCTTTACAATTCTGTGTAACATTGTTGAAGTTGACTGCACAAGGATTTATGTACACCAGTCTTCTTGTGTTGAAGTTGAATTTGCAAGGATGAGGAATTGGATAAAGAAAAAAACTTGGTGAATGCAGTGTGTCATCTGTCACTTCTGTATGTATTTGTCCTGTCTGACTGTCTTAGATCTGGGAGTACAGATGGGGTATTTGGACCAGTCAGAAATCCCTGGAGTTATTCAAGACAGTACAAGGAAAAATCTGTCCCAGAATCCCATTCTGAGGACGAAGAGTCTAACTGGGTAATAACAGGAGGGAGCTCAGGAGGCAGTGCGGCTGCTGTGTCATCTTTCACATGTTTTGCGTAAGAGGCTTTTTAAAATTTTTTTTATTAAATGTCTCAAAATATGTTGCAAGGTTTTAATTTTATAATTATCTCATAGTCTAGTTTGAAATGGGAGGGTTATTGGCACTGACATGCAAGAATTTATTTCAGTGTCCCTAATTTATTCGTGGTCTATCATGAAGCCAGAATGAATCCACGTAAACAGATTTAGGCTTATTCATTTGGAGCGTTACTCAGTGTACTGATATGACCACTTTACACTGCGGGAAATAAAATGATAGTAGCAGTAAAGGAATGACAATTGCATTGTTATTCCCACATACCCTCTTAAAATTAACATGGGGTTTGTGACACATCCTCTTCCTCAGTAAATGCATTACACAAATACATGCTGAAAATGTAATTCAGCAAATGAGGAGATCCCTTAGATTGTAACAGTATAATAATCTTTCCTCCCCTCCTTTTGTTTTTATAGCAAAATTATGTAGCAATGCATGAGATTTGGGATCTAAAAGCTTTCAAATTCCTGACTTAACAAAAGGATACACAGAGCTTACCACACAGATACTTACAAACCTGTCTGTTTAAAAAAAAGTTAGAATACACTTTTAGTTTTGGGGGGTTTTTTAAGAGGAATTTAAACAAGCTGGATTTTTTCTTTTTTTACAATGATTATTATCTGCATGGAATAGCAGCACACTATTTCACAAATCAGTTGTATAAACAGTTGGATGGGGAAGGCAGTAAAAAGAAATATGATCTTTAAAACTTTACACCTTTCCTTTTGTGCAGTTTTTAGAGCTACATAGTGGAGCTTGTTTTACTGATGATGATTTTGGTTGTGCTCTTAACTGGAAGGTGTTTGAGAATGCTCTTTAGGTATTGTGTCCTTGTTTACCCACAGACTATGTTATAAGCATCTATTTTATTGTTAAAATATTTTTTGCTAATGTTGATTACAGCTTTATTAAAAAAATATGTTTTTATGTACAAGCCTCAATTTATTTTATTATTTTTTAAAATGATACCTCTCCATCTCATTGCGCTTTGCTAGGATGTAGTCTACTCAACATTTTAATACTGGTGAGACTGATCTCAGTGCAGCAGTTCCCAGGGACTACTGGTCCTTGTCCTGAGCCAGAATGGCCTGATCCTGATAGGGTCTGGCACCTTCTCTTCTGTTGCTGGGCATGCTGAACTCCCATTTTGCGATGCTCAGCACTTTGCTGGGTCAGGGAGATTTTTTTGTCCAGCTATTTTCTTGCCTATAACCTATTGTATATCTACTCTATTAGTTTCTTTCAGGCATCAGGAATGCTGCCAGTCTTTGTCTTTTCAATTTGAGATTTGGGTGTACAGAAATGCTACAAAATTGAGTATGTTTTACATCAACACAAAAGCTTGGAAAAAATTCCACTTCAACAAAGCCAATTGAATTGGTTCAGCCATCTCAGAAACAGATGCCTATGGGAAAAGTCACATACCCACCTCAATAAAAATTACATCTCCTTCTGAAGTTTAATTTATTTTTGGCAAAGATTTGGATTAAAGTGGTTTTATTTTTTAAATAGTCCTTGAGTTAAAATTATTAAAAATGAGAGAAGAACAGGTTTCATTTCAATATGAATTTAAAATTTCATTACAATTTTTTAAATAAAAATTTCAGTTTAGAAAGAACAAGGTTTCACATGTGAAAGAACAAAAAAAAGAAATAAAAAAATAATACAGTGTTCTAAAAATGCGTCTAAGCTACTCTAAACTGGAAATTCTGGTGCTATGCTTTGTAGATTTGGAAACAGGGAAGACATCCTAGACTTTGAAAAGTATGCTCTGTTGTTAGGACCAAAAAGTGTACTGTGTTGCTGTCATGGTTTACTGGAAAATGCTGATTCATAGTGTATTGGCTACTGAATAAATAAGATGCCAGTGTCTGAAAATTGTGCACGAAATCATATGAGACATTGTTTTGGAGTCCACGAACAGACCAACAGAGAATGCAGAATTAGATGTTTAGGGCCATATTCAGATGGCCTAAATTCTGCCTGTGTACCTCTTCTTTGTGGAGAGAACTGGGCTCTCCTGATGACTAATTCAGAGGCCCTAAGAAAAATAAAGAGAACAGAGAAAAAATAGCAGACATAGGGAGCAGACTGAAATTTAGGTTGTGTTACTATGACTTATAATCTGGAAGAATTCACATGTTTTTAAATCCATGCATCTTAAGGTCATACATTTTAATTATTTGGAAATGTTCTCAATTATTTTACTAATGATAATTCTTTTGAAACTGTAGAGCTTTAGGGTCAGACACAGGAGGATCTACCCGAAACCCTGCTGCTCACTGTGGTGTAGTAGGTTTAAAGCCAACATATGGACTGATCTCTCGCCATGGTCTCATTCCTCTAGTGAACTCCATGGATGTGCCAGGAATCTTAACCAGATGTGTGGATGACGCAGCAGTTGTGTTAGGTATTACTACTACATATGTCTTTGTATGCAACATATTGTTGTTTACAACATCATCTCAAAATAAATTGAGTTCTGGCTGCTCAATGTACATTTTCCTGTTCTTCATATGTCATGTCACATTTCAGGTTCACTTGCTGGACATGATCCTAAAGACTCTACCACAATTCAGGACAACTTTGAGCCATTTGAACTACCTAGTTTGACTAATGTCAGCAAGCTCTCAATAGGAATTCCAAAGGTAACATTTAAATCCTGTCAGCAGTTGTGGACAGGGACAGCAGATAGGACACCTAACAAAAAACCATTTGTGTCTTGCCCACCATCTCCCAGTCTCTCATGATATAAAACAGTGACGTCAGCACTAGCAGCTCCTGGGAAAGAGCAGTATGTGCTCTGTTGCCTGTGCAGGCGGTTTGGAGTGAGCATATGCTAATGCTTCATCTAAAACATTTTGTCATCATTGTGGGAAGCACTGTCAGAAGTTCCAAGGAAAATGGGGAACTTCAGCTCTTGGTTCTCTCCGTTGCTCATTCATCAGTCACCTGTTTAACCTCAAACAAGTTGCTCTTAGTGCCTTCTCGTACAGTGAAGTTAGTCGTGCAGTGCTTTGAGATACTTGTCTAAATGACACTGTGTTAGTACAAAGCAGAATTTTAAAGGCAATTGAGAGGCACAAGGAGCCATGATTTGAAGAGTTCTAATAGGGATTGAAAGACAACTGTAATCTGGTTTCTGATCTATGAAAATCAGTTGTGTATAGCTCTAAGCATACTGTCAATTTAGGCACAACGTTTGGGACTTCAGCCTATTTTTAGTTTATTAAAGGATCTGCCTTCAAAGAGACAGTGTGAATAACATTTACTGGTTTGATTCTCAGTATTTGAACCTGTGCTGGAACAGGCATACCAAAAGATTTAATTTGGTAAACAGCGATGTCCACTGACCAGTTAATTATTCAGGATCTGTGAAATGCAAAAGTTGTGTGCCTAGAAAATTAATTGGCTGCATACTGTTTAGATTTTGAAAAATCTAAAATAGTTGTATTGGTTAAATATTCGTATCATTTGGACAGTTTTTTTCTGCTGCTACAGATCATCCTAAACAGATATATGCATATATTAAGCATGAGTCATAGCTACTCAGAAATCAAGACAGTGTTACGACCCTGATATTGTGAGTTAGAACTAAAGCAAGTGTCTTAAAAAATAGAGAATATTAGTAGGATATCTTTAACTTAGCTCTTAAACAAGAACGTTGCTTATCTAAGTCTTCTCCCAACCACTTGGTTGTAGTTTTTCTTTGGTGGGTTATTTTGTTTGTTGCACTGAGGCATACCAGTTGCCGCTGATGTGCTGTGGCCATAATTTCTTCTTGTTTTTCCTACTCACAGCAACCCTAGTGTTAGGATTTAAACCTGAAGAGTTTCTACCCAGGAACTGCAGAGCAGTGCAGTGTGGTCTCCATGAATAGGCAAATAAGTAGATAACTGGGCAATTTCTCCTGCAGAAAAACTGCTGAAATTCCATGGTTTGTGATGTGGGGGTTGATTCTACTGAGGTGAACATAATATTCTTCAGACAACTGAATCCTGTTAATTTAATACTGCTTGATTGTGTAGTATTTAGTAGATGCAAGAAGCTTTAATAAGTACTTTAAATCATATAGTGGTGAGGTAATAGTTTCAATGTATTTTTAGCTAGTAATATTTGCATTTTGTTTGCCTTTAGCAGTAAACTGGTATGTAAATCACTCCCTTTCTTGTTTTTCTCTAAGGAATACCATGCACCAGGGCTTTCCAGTGAAATTCTGTCTCTCTGGTCAAAGGCTGCTGAGCTCTTTAAGAATGCAGGTGCTCGAGTAATTGAAGTGAGTCTACCACACACTTGTTACTCAATTGTCTGCTATCATGTGCTGTGCACAGCAGAAGTGGCATCAAATATGGCCAGGTTTGATGGACTTGAATATGGTAAGGCCTTTGAAAAAACTTTTTTCTGAGACAATAGACACATTGCTGGGTGCCATTAAGAAGTATTAGTTTTAATAGATAAGCTTTTCATGGTTGAATATATGGTGTTATTTCTCCAAGGTGGACTAGAGTAAAAAGCCTGTCCAAGTAAAAATGAGTAAATAAATACATATTTTAGTATACTTCACTCTAGACACATGGGTGTCTGGGCTTAAAATCCATCTAACATTTCTATAATAAAACAGGAATATACTTTGTTGTATTTCCAGAATAGTAGCATGTCAGACTGCACCAAACAGTGGTCTATTGTATTGCTATGTATAACATTACCTTATGTTGTTAAATCTTAAGGATTACAAAAAGTGTTGATTTCCAAATTGCTTTTTCTTTTCAGGACACCGTTCTGACATGAACAAGTCCACAGAAAGCATGTATGCTGCAACACGACGAGAAGGCTTCAATGATGTTGTAAGAGGAAGAATTCTGTCGGGAAACTATTTCTTGTTGAAACAGTAAGCAGAACATCCTGAAACTCAAATTTGCCAAGTTAACAATTTTTTAAGTAAATGGTGATGAATTGTTCATCATGACGTGAAAAAAAATTTGTCCTTACACTGGTAGCTACTTGTAGTATTATTATTGCTTTAGCTATATAATACCTGTGAACTGCTAATAATCAATGAAAATGTTTTCCCTTAGTCTTACCAGTAAGCCTCCTGAATTAAATAAGTAAAACAACTTAGTGATTTCCACCATCCACAGCCATCCCCCACCCCACCAAGTATTATTGGTGCCCATTACTTAAATTAAGCAAAAATCTATCCTGGGGTATGACATTGAAATCATATTGAAGCCATTACTGTCGTAGCATTAAAAGTGCTGTAGCTGTTAACCTCATTAAAGCTGCATAGAAAAACTGCTGGTACATTCTACTGAGATCGTCTAGAGAAAGCCAGAAGATACGGCGATTAAATTAACGATAGCTCTTTGCCTCAGTATACAGGCAAAGGAAGGCACTGGCAAAGGTACTGAACTGATGTCTTCACAGAAGACAGGTTTTTATCCAGCTCACGTAGAGAAGCCGGTGCATGGATCAGTTCGACTTTTTTTCTGTTTTCACTCCTTACCCAACAGTCCTAACTTATGATAGTAAAACTGCCGTTTTTCTCTGTCTTCATTTGTTCAGATACTAACAGAAATGTTAGTTGTGTAATCAGTGTCAAAGCAAGTGCTCTACAGAAAGAGTTCTGTCAGCAAGAGTGTTCATCAGATGTGTTGCTCTTGGAG